ATCCGTTCTCCTCCATTCTCCTCTCGGGATCTTGGGCACGCATGCGCATGCGCCCGGCGTGAATTTTAAGCCACCGGGTCCGGGACGCGAACCGCGGTCGACTACGTGGGAGTCCAGCGACATAGCCATTACACTAACTGCTGGTTCCCAAGCTTTATTTGTTCTTTGAATTATGTTGAGTAAACAATGTATTTTCCCGTATTCATAACTCTGATGTTGGTCCTGGCGTATCTTTGGGAGAGAATGTCTCTGGTGCTAAAAATAATGGCATCAATGTTTAAAGACTTTTGAGGTGGAAAAGGGGACTTTCTTTTCCTAAGAATATAATTTCCTAATATTATTATTTTTTAAAGATTTATTATTAATATTTTTAAATTTGACCAGAAAGAGTCAAAGAAAGAGAAAGAGAGAGCAAGCGACCAGGTCTGGGACTCAAACCGTGATTGGCCATGTGGGAGTCTAGCATCTACCACTACACCACCGGCCGACCCACCTAATACACTTTAAAGTTTTATTTTGTGGGTTTAGTATATGTGTACTTGAAACAGTGTCCCTGGCCCTTCTACCCACTAGATACCAGTAGTTGCTCCCATCCCCTAGCCCCCTGTTCCACCATGCAGACTAGTAACAAACCAAGAAGTGTCCTCAGGCATTGGCCACCATCCCTGGGAAACATAATTACCTTTGTCTTAGTCTGTATTGCGTTGCTAACAGAAAAGCCTGAGGCCGGGCGATTTTATAAAGAAGATAGATGTTTGTTCACAGGCTCAAGGTTCTGGTGTTGGGAAGTCTGAAATCCTAGGCTACTAGGCTACAGCACCGCCAGTGGGAGCATGGAGGAGGGCAAGCTCTAGCAGAGCAAGGAGGTCCTGACTGATGGCTCTTTTACAGCTGCCTCCTCTCCTGAGACCGGCCTCCTCCTCAGGAGAGCTAGAGTTCATTGGGTTTCACGGATGCTGTAAGTCCATTCTTGACACTGTTGCCATCACGATGCAGTCACCATAAACTGGTTGTCACTCATAGGCAGTGTTCTGGGAACCCACGAAGGAATCAAGTTTCCACCTCATATCTTTACAGCACCTGAATTTCTTGGGGAGGGATTAAAACCATAGCAACCCACTTTAGAACCACTGCTTTAGAGTCATTTTTCAAGCTTAAATAATACACAAGGAAGTGTTAAATTAGCAAGTGAGAGCTGTTGATTGACTTTTACCATTGGTCCTGGCAGAAGCTGAGTGTGTGAAGTACTGTCTTACTTGGAGAATTCAAACATGTTTTTTCTTTATTTGCCAGAATGAACATCGTGGTGGTGGTGATGGGGGCAATACCCTCAATGGGGTGTGGCTGCTCTGCAATCCCTTCTCTATTCTTCTATCCTTTCAGGATTGGGGCACACAGGCACAGATGCTTGATGTGTTTTTAAGCTGCAGGGACTGGGATTCAAACCGTGGTAGACTCTGTGGGATCTGGCTCTCTTTACCACTAGAGTATGGTGCCAGCCCTTAACATTTTTGTATTTGCTGTTTTGAACTTCTTACTTTAGCTAATCGTTAGCCATAACTCTTCTGCATGAACTTGAAGTTAACACTTTTGGGGCAGTCTTAATTAAAAGCCTGATCTTTTCTCAACTTTGAGAACACCTAGTATTTGTGATCGTGACTGGACACGCTGGGAGTGGGCCGCCTTTGGAGGGCATTAGCTAAAAGATCCCTGTGGGCCCCGCCCTTTCTAAATTTAGGCATCCATGTAGTCTTTGGCTCTCAGAGCCACCCTGGGACAGTTGGGTTGCTTCCTTCTGAAATGGGGGGAGATTGAAGCAGACACTTGACTTTGGGCTTATTTTTATACTTTATAACCTATGCTTGGCCTTGTGAAGTTGCAGTTACATTAGACATGATTTTGTTATTTAAAAAAATGCCCTCAACTGAGTTTAGAGAGTGAGACAGGAGTGCATGAGTAAGTGAGGGAGGGTCCAGGATAGAGAGAGTTTTGTTTTGACAGCTGAAGAAAAAAACTGAAGCAGAGTCATAGCTGACTTCTGGGTGGCTGTGGACCAGCTCCTTGGCACTGGCCACTTGTCTGCTAAGACCAGTTTCTAGACGGCCAGTAAACAGGCTGTTATTTCCTTCTGACCCCAGAAGGAAACGACTGTGCTTTTGGGGATTCTGTTGACCAAGGTAATGCTCAGGACACTGTCACCCAGTCACACCTGTGGAGTTTTTTTTTTTTTTCCTTCGTGTTTTGCAGTCCCTTTTGCTCTCACCAAGAATGTGCCAGGACTCCCAAAGTGGCTTCAATGCTTTAGTCATTTTTGTCTTTCTAGAGGTCTGGCTTTAAAAATCATTTTGAGACTTAAAAAATAAGTTAAAGTAACAAACAATTACTTTATAGTAGAACTTCTAATTAGTTGGTTTGCTGGTTTCTGCTTTGGTTGGCTGTTTCCTGAGAGACCTGTCATTTCTATTCTTTGTTGCTGCTGGTTATTTTTAAGTACTTTTGACTCACTTAAAACATTTTCAGCTTTTTGAAGGATGGCCAGGAAAATGAGCAGAATTATCCTTATTTTTTGACTTGAGAAGACATTTATATGGATTTAGAAATAATGCCTTTGCTGTCTTCATAACTCATCACATGAAATGAACAGTCGCCTGTGTGCTCCCACCCCTACCCAGGCCAATAGAATTGCCTGTCTCAAAGTCTGTTTTTCCTTCTCATCTTTTCCACTTTTACTTCTAATAGTATAAGTACTACAGAATGGTCTTTGCGGTTTAAATCTTTTCTCAGGATCCTGAGTCTTGCTATAGGCGCCATAGTCTTCTTGTTCGGGGTCTGCATTAAGTGGCACCTCCTTAAATAGACCTCCCAGAAAAACAAATACATCTTTTATCACTGTAAGGAAAGAGAAACAGAAGTGAGAAATTCCTCTTTTCCTTCAGTCAACTAGAAGAAAGTTGTATGAGCCCCACCTGAGCCTGTGGCATTTAAACAGAAGCAGTGTTTACAGTCACCTCCAATGGTGTTACAAACCCTAGTTGCTTTCTATTCCCCTTAATTTTGGGAGTGGAAACCTTTACCATATCCCATATACTATGGAAAACAGCTCCATACTTTCAAATTTGCATTTTTAAGTGTATGCTGTAGTTTACAGTTTTTAATATTCAATAATAAATACTAAATTCTATTGATTCTCTTTGTAAAATGAACATGCAGAGCATGTGGATATTGTAAATCATTTTTAAAACACTATGGGAAAGTTACAAGACTTAGAAAACTTGTATACCACAGAGAAACGCATTTCTAAAAAATGAACATAGCTACATGCTAAATGGGACTATTTTCCTAACTGGGTAGGTGACACCAGTTTTGACTGATTCTTGGCAATTACATATCTCCTCTATAATTTACCTTTTTATTTTCTTTCCCTTACAACTTTTAGGTAGAACTTTAGACTTCATAGCACTGAATTAAACCTGCACTGAAAGCTGGTTACCTGCAGTTGTTCACTTTTGTTGAAAGTGACCATGTCTCAAGTTCAAGTGCAAGTTCAGAACCCATCTGCTGCTCTCTCAGGGAGCCAAATACTGAACAAGAACCAGTCTCTTCTCTCACAGCCTTTGATGAGTATTCCTTCCACTGCTAGCTCTCTGCCCTCTGAAAATGCAGGTAGACCTATTCAGAACTCTGCTTTCCCCTCTGCATCTGTTACATCCACCAGTGCAGCTGCAGGTAAGCGTACAAATCCGAGTGTCTTCTATTTCAAATGTTTTCTTAGCCTGTTTTCTGATCTGATGTGTAGGGAGCTCTCAAATTTTCCTTGAAGAAGCAGAAGAAAGTCTTACTACCCATGCTTCCTTATCTCAGAGACAGAACACTGGTTGTGTATGAGGTTGACAGAGGCCTCAGTTGATAGATGATTGGAAGTTGTAAGAAAGAGAACTGAAAACTACTGAAACTGTAAAAGCCTAATCTGTTAGAAAGTGGCCCTTAGCAGAAAGAATTGAAGAATAAATACAGTTTTGCATATTCACTGTAGTATGGGAATATCCTGCTTTTAAAATTACTTCTCAAAATTGACAAAACTCTTGTAAATATGTGCAAGTCCTTTTTTTATGTCTGAGACTTTATCCCAAGCATGGGGGCAATCAGATTTACTAGAAAGCAAAAGAGTGCCCCGGCATTTGAGAAGTAAGTTTAAGTCTGGGAGGTTTAGAGGCTGTTTAGAAATTGTAGTGCCAACAAATTAGAAATTAAATAAAGAAGCAGAGATTTTAAAACATGAAGTTGGGCCCAGTCCCATGGCCTAGTGGGTAAGAGAGCCAGATCCCACATGACTGACTATGTGGTTTGAGTTCTGGCTGCGGCAGCTGCAAAATATGCTGGGCACGTGTCCATGCGTGCCCCAAACCCTGACAGGATGGAGAAATGGAGAAGGGATTGTAATGTGAGCATGCCCCACTGGGAGTGCTTTCTCCTTCCCTCTGTCTCTGGCCAGTGCATGTGCCCTCTGGCGATGAGAAAAGGTAGTGAGTTTAGAAGCATTCAAATGTGATTATTTGGAAAATGAACTGAAGGTACTTGATTAATAAAGACTTGAAATACCTGCCCCACCCCACCCCCTTCAAAGACTAATGGCAAGACTAGTGGCAAGACTGATAGAATGATTTGAGTGTCACTATATTACACATTTCCAGCCCCTTCCTAATGCCTGACCATTTCCCTTGCATTTCATCCTTTGTCTGTCATTCCCTCTCCTTTGTTTATCTGTTCTAGAGTGTTTGCTTTACCCACTCTCAGCCACATGTCATCTTTCACATTACCTTCAGAAGTCCCTGGACTGGTTCACCAGGTAGCACTCTTGACTTGTCCCCTAGAAAGTCAGTTTCTCCAAACTGGCCATGTGAGACTGTCTTAAGGTCTTAAGAGGAAAAGGCACAGATTATTTCAGACCTCCAGGATTTATTGCTTTTCTTTCTGATGTGTTTTTATATCCATATCCTATTGATTTTTTAAGAGTCCTGCCCACCAAGGTCATTTTAGTTTACTTATGTAATTGTTAGAATAGATAAGGTCTGAGGATGGCAGCCCTCGGAGAAAAGACTAGCATGCCCCTGGAACGAAAAGTTAGCTGTTGTGGAAACGACAGTCGGTGTTTGAGAGATGATATTGATGTGTTGCATTTGGTGAGATAACAAACAGGGTACAGCTGGCCGCTGTTGCAGTAACCATCGTGTCTCCCTCAGAAGACCCCCTCATCATCCCTCAGTTGGTGTAATAGAAGTGCTTCATCTGATTCAAAATCTTGCTTGCCTGCTACGGTTTTGGTTATTCCCCTGGTTCTGTTTTCTCTCCTTTGAAGACACACCCTGTCCTAGGTTACCTGGTTTCAGCCTTCGCTAGTTGTGTGCTACCAGTATGGTTTGCAGTTTTACATCACCACAGCCTAAATCCTTAGACCTTCCATTTGTTTTTCTTATTTTCACATCCCTGGGAGAACAGCAGTCTTACATACTGCTAGTTGACTTCAATGCTCTCACGTTATTTTTCAGTTCCTTCTAACATGGCAAACGCCAAAGAGAAAAACCCAATGTGTCTTGTGAATGAGTTAGCCCGTTTCAACAAGATTCAGCCTGAGTATAAGCTTTTGCGTGAGCAAGGTCCAGCTCACTGTAAGGTAAATATTGTCCATACTGCTTGTGCATTTATAACCCACCAGAAATGTTTTCTGTTTTTTTCATACTGTTGAAAGTGGTGCTGTGATTCAAAATATGTCTTTTCAAATAGCTGAAGTCATCCTAAAGAGATACAGAAGTATAGATTTTTGAAGAGTTGCTCTTTTTTCATCCTTGCAGATGGATCAAAGGAAAGATGTGTTTCTCTTTGGGATATCTGGCTTTTAGAACTCCACGTAGTGCATGGTTGGTTCGGGTTCTGAATAGAGACAATTTCAAGGACCTGTGATTGGTTGCCTGTGAGTTTTTCAGGTCTGAGCCTCCTGTCTGCAGCCTACTTCTGGCTTCTTTCCTGCATGTTTGCTCCTGGACCTTAGACTGGGCAGGGAGAGGAGGTGATGGGATATCTCTTTTGCCACTTGTTAGCAAGCCAAGTAAAAGGTTCGAAGATGAGTATTTTGGATTGTCTCTGATTTCAGTTACCCTGGTCATTCCCCTTATTTTAGAGGATAAAGGACTGACTATAATTTGAAATTTTCCTAATTGTCAAGTAAACCCGTTTGACCTCTATGATAATATACACCTTGGAGCTTAATTGTCACATGCCTCACTTGATCTTTTGTGGCTGAAAGAGGATGTAGTATGAGACATAAAGAGTTGGGCCTCCTGTTTCTGACCCTAGCCTTCCACAAAGGTGCTATAACGGTAATATAATGGAGGGTGAGCTACTTACCTCGTATGTTTCGTTTTTCTTCACACACAAACATCAAGCCTTGAGTGAAGTCAAATTCTTTTCTCATTTGGCTTAAGAGTAACATCAGCCACACTTAAGCAGGCGCCTTGGTATACCACGGTTAGGTAGTTGCCTTTGGAGTCAGACAGACTGAGTGAGTTTGAGTCCCAGCCTTTTACTAGCTGTATGATTTTAGGCAGCTTAGTCCTTTTTTTAAGCCTCAGTTTCCTCCTCTGTAAATGAGGAATAATAATATCTGCCAAACAGGTTCATTATGAGAATTAAATGAGAATAATGTATGCTAATTAGTAAATGCTTGAGAATGGTAGCTGTTATTTAGCAGTTATATATTTAAGAGAAACAGATTCCTCACTTACATGAAACTAGTGTAACAGTGTTATTCTAAAACAAATTATATTTTAAATTCTTTTTTTTTCTTTTGTTTTGGAGAGATTTTTTTCTTATTGGATGCATGCACTCACCAGAAAGACAGAGAGACAGAGAGATAGAAAGCGAGAAATCACCACTGAGAGGGGATGGCCACGCTGCAATCCCTTCTCTTCTTGGGATCTTGGGCACGCATGCGCGAGTTTAAGCCATCAGGTCCGGGACTTGAACCGTGGTTGACTACATGGGAGTCCAGTGACATAGCCATTACGCTAACTGCTGGTCCCTTAAATTCTTTATGTTTGGAAGGCAGCAAGTCATTAGCTCTAACTGTTGTATTTCTTCCACAGGATTTTTTTTGCAGATCTCCCTTTATTAAATGTTCTTATTATTTTTTGGAATATATACTTAAGTACTTGAACTTTTAGTACTTCGGTAATTTGGCTGTGTGTTCATTTATAATTGCTTTTTTTTAAAAAAAAATCTTCCAAGTTATTCAAAGAGAAGTTTTCCCCTCCTGGGTTAGAATTAGTTTAAAAAAATTCTATTCTAACCTTGATACCAACCCTTCACACAGAATGTCACGAAATGGCAACAGTGCTGGATGGGGAAAGTCCTGGAAAAAGGCTAGACTGTTCATGAGATTAACTTTTTTTTTTTTTTTTTGGAGAGATTTTTGCTATAGGGCGCATGTGTTCGCCAGACAGAGACAGACATAGAGACAGAAAGCGAGAAATCACCCCTCAGGGGGGATGGTCACGCTGCAATCCCTTCTCCTCCATTCTCCTCTCAGGATCTTGGGCATGCATGCACACATGCCTGGCGTGAGTTTTAAGCCACCAGGTCCGGGACGCGAACCGCGGTCGACTACGTGGGAGTCCAGCGACATAGCCATTACGCTAACTGCTGGTTCCCCACTTTTTTTTTTTTTTAAATAGTGTTTTCCCCTTCAGCATCTTCCCTTGAAGCAACAAAAATGGCCAGGGTATCACACCACACTGTGCGCTTTTTTGCCTTTTGCCTTCTCAGGCTGCCAGGGTTTTGAATTTATGCTATGGGTGCATCACTGAGTAACTTTATAAATTGCAGGACATATACAGGAGATCTCCAGTCTTTCAAGGAGGGTGAAGGATTCTTTAATTTTCCTTTCTAGAGGAAGCTGTGCTCTGAGGGGATCCTGAAATTAAGACCTACAAGGAAAATTAACTATGAAAGCAGCACCTCATCCCCTTAGGCATCAACTTTAAATGACCTAACTATATTCAAACCAATGTTTTTCTTGTAGATTTTTTACAAATGAAATGAAGTGAAATCCAGTGATAAATACCATCAGAAAAATAAAAGTTTTGCTTGATTTTGCTAAGTTTTAAAGTAATGAGTCTCAAAACTTGGTTGTATATCAGAATCACTTTGGAAACCTATTAAAAGTACACATGCAGGGGGACCAGCAGTTAGCATAATGGCTATGTCGCTGGACTCCCACGTAGTCGACCGCGGTTCGTGTCCCGGACCCGGTGGCTTAAAACTCACGCTGGGTGTGTGTGTGTGCGTGCGTGCCCAAGATCCCGAGAGGGGAAGGGATTGCAGCATGGCCATCCCCCCTGGGGGGTGATTTCTCTTTTTCTATCTCTCTCTCTGTGTCTGCCTGGTGAGCGCACGCGCCCTATAGCAAAAAAAAAAAAGAAAAACCTCTAAAAAAAGTACACATGCAGGGCCAGCCAGGTGGCATGGTGCTTGAGGTGACTGGATTCCACGTGGCCAACTGTGGTTTGAATTCTAGACCTGACTGCCTGAAGAACATGCTGGGCATGTGTGCATGCATGCCCAAAATCTTGAGAGGAAAGTGTAGGAGAGGAGATTGTGGCATGGCCATCCTCCCGCCTTCCAGGCATGCTTGCTATCTCTCTCATGCTCCCTTTTTCTTCCGTGAGCACACGTACTCTGTGGCCAGCTGGTGGTGTGGTGGCTGGGGTAGCTGAATCCCATATGGCTGGCTGTGTGGTTTGAGTCCCAGTAACTCCTGAGAGGAGAATGGAGGAGAAGGGATTTCAGCAAGGCCATCCTCCCTGGGGAGTGCTGTTTTACCCCCTACCCTTGTTTCTCGGTTGAGCACACCCGCCCTATAGCAGGTTAAAAACAAAGTCCACATGCTGGCACCTCTTCATGCTATTTAGAAAATCCCTGTGGTAGGACCTGGGGGTCTGTACTCCACCAAGCTTCCTAGGTGGTTCTTCACGTGTACACCGAAATTGAAGAATCACTGTGCTAGGATGGGTGGTAGATTTTTGACAGGCTATTAATTTTAATAATAAGATTAACATGATTTGATTTTTTAAAAAATAATTATTTTATTTTATTTATTCATTCATTTGTTTTTTAATTTGACCAGAGAGAGACAGAGGGTGAGAGTAAGAGAGAGAGGAAGTGAGAAAGCAGGCCACCAGATTCAGGACTTGAACCCTGCTTGGCCATGTGGGAATGTCCAGAGCCTTAACCACCATGCCACCTGCTGGTCCCAACATGATTTAATTTTAAAGATGGAGATGTACGCTTGGTTTACCTTTGTACTTAAAAAGATAGAAAAATGTAGAAAACCAGCTGTTTGGTAACTTAGCATGTATGGAAGAGAGAACTTGGCTGTTTCAGATGAACTCAGAGACAGTTTTTTTTTTTTTTGGAGAGGTTTTCACTATAGGGCGCGTGTGCTTGCCAGACAGACAGAGAGTCAGAAAGCAAGAAATCACTCCCCAGGGGGGATGGTCACGCCACAATCCCTTCTCCTTCATTCTCCTCTTGGGATCTTGGGCGCACACGCGCCCGGCGTGAGTTTTAAGCCACCGGGTCCGGGACGCGAGCCGCGGTCGACTACATGGGAGTCCAGCGACATAGCCATTATGCTAACTGCTAGTCCCAGAGACAGTTTTTATGTCTTTGCTTTACTGCAGATCTGATTTTCTTCTGAAGGTGGAGGCAGTGTCTGAATAGTACAGTCTTCGGAAAGTAATAGGCAGTGTTTTAGAACCGGCTTACATTCCCAACCTCGATGGAGTTTTATTTTCAAATGAGAGTCCACAGACACTTGACTGCATTGAAACGTTGTCTTAATTTGCATGAAATGTTGCTGTATATGTAAACCACATTAGCAAAATTTCTTCATGAAGTGTAACTGGAGGATAATTTCTATTTGGGTATCTTCCACATAATCAGATTTTAACATTTTAGTCTATAAGAAAATATTTTTTAGCTTCTGTACTTACCTTCATCTTTTAAAGCATAACTTTTCATGGAGTACTCTGCAGCGCTAGTCAATGCATATATATATATTAGACTTTGTATTTTTGTATATATCATCTTTTTTTCTGTTTATATAAACAGGAAAAAAAAAAGTGTGAAGGGATTACTAACCAGGCCTTTTAAACCATGATTGTAAAAAACGTTCGAGGTCCGAGTGACATGTTACAGTTACCCTCAGGTTTCATGCATTGAGAGCTCACACTTTTCATTTGTAGGTGTTTACGGTACAGCTAACACTCGGAGATCAGCACTGGGAAGCTGAAGGCGCTAGTATTAAAAAAGCCCAACACACAGCTGCTGCCAAAGCTTTGGAAGGAACAAACTTTCCTAAACCCATAGTCCGCCCTTTTCATAGCGAAGGAAGGAATCCAGGTATTATGCGTGTGCCAAGACAGGTTCCTTTCCAAAGTGTGTCTAGAGGTACCCGTTTAGTATCCATATGAATGGTTTTTAAACTAACTTGTGGGCTTTGGAAGCACAGATTGTACACTACCAGTGGCAAATGCTTGTCCTTTGGGATTCTTCATCCTCACTCTAAAGCAGTGGTTCCCAGTCTGCGGTCCTTGCACTCTGACAGTCTGTCAGTAGGAAGGCGGGATGTGAACTGTGTGTCACCAAATGATTTTAAAATTTCAGAAACGCTTACTGAAAGTACTTTATCTTTCCTTGACAACGTTGTACAGATTGTCAAAAATACAGGTTTTAGTGGGTGACAAGTCAGCGTGGTAAAATTTATTACAATTTGTTGATCAAAAGTGCTGATTTTTGGGCCCAGCTAATTGTGTGGTGGTTAAGATGGCCTGATCCCACCCACATGGCTGACTGCGTAGTCCCAGACCTGGTGGCTTGGGAAACATGCTGGGCAAATGTGCATGCATGGGTATACCCAAAATCCAAGAGGAGAATGGAGGGGAAAGGATTGTGATAGGACTATCTTCCCTCTGCCCCTTCACTGAGTGCATGCACCCTATGGCAAATTTAAAAAAAAAAAAGAAAAAAAGTGCTGGTTTTCAGTTACATGTCTCCTGGTCATTAAACAGAATAAGAAAATTAATTTTTACTACTTCAGTAGAGACTAGTAGGTACTCCCTCTTCAAACAAGGGACAAGTGGGCAGAGTCTAATCCAGAATCTAGTCTGGTAAAGGGTTGGGAACCACTGACTGAAGGGCGTAGCCGTCTTTAAAGCGCCCCTCGTGGGCATGATGTCAGTCTAGGCCTCGGCCAATAGAATCCAGAGGGGAAGTTCTTGGTTACACCTTGTTGCTTTGATTGCCTTGTGGTATTCTTAAATTTGTTCTCTCCTGCAGATAAATTTCGTGGGTCAGAGCTACTACAATGGTTCAGGCTGTACTTAAAATCCACTATGTGAATTACGTAAAAAAGTAACAATTAACAATTCTAACGTGAGGAAGAGAGAGGTTGGTAACTCGTGATTCTCTCAATGTGCAAATCAAGGATGATATGTATTTGATTTGTGCACTAAGTTTAGTCGAACCACTTACGGTACAGAATACAGTCATTTTGATTTTTTCTGTACACACATCCTGAAGAGGCATTTCAAAGTGGACTTTTGTGTGCATTAACACTGGATTTTGCCATTGCTAGTGTCATTCTGTGTCTAGTATGCAAGTGTTGTTTTAAGTGTGGTGGTGCACTGACACTGATACTGCTAGGCTCATTGTCTTTGTAAAGGGTTTATAAAGGGTAAACTGGGTGAACCATGAGGGGGGAAAAATGGAAAATGAATACCATGTATTCCTGAAATTGGTAATTCTGAGATAACTTGTTTTCCTAACAAGTATTACCACAGATGATAAATACCAAGAATGGAAATATCTCTGAATACTCTGCGGGCCTCATTTGACTTCTCCAATAAGAAGTTACTTACTCTTCCTCAGTGATTTTGCTTATGGCCCTCATTCCATTGTATTGTAGTGGAGGTATTGTAGTTGACTGTTTTTGTGTTCTTTGAACCCTTCTGGGGCAGGAGTTGTGTCCCTCAAGCTTAGCACAGTGCTTTGCATGCAGTTAGTACTTAATAAATGCATTGCTCAATAGTGTTTACAAACATACTTCCAAGTGTAAGTGAGCGACCCAGTAAATCAGTATGAGTAAAGTGAAGTTAAATATTCCAAAACAATTGAATAATGTGGACAGTCTTGTGGGATTTTTTTTTTCATATGGGATATTTTAATCATGGAATTTTACATGTATTGGAACTTACTTCTGACAGCTGTACTGTATGGCTTTCATTGATAAAATTTTGAGTTAAATTGTTGCTCCTTCTAATAGCCTGTACAGTATATTCTTTGCTGTTCACTGAGTATTAATATCAAGAAATTGCAGCTGATTCTTGGATTTCCTGACCCCGATGCCTAGTAGTGAAGTACTCGGGCCCATTCATGTCATGCTTCACCAGTCTGATTAGTAGAAAGCATGCTGTTCTTTTTTTTTAATTTTAGTGATCATTATTCTCATGTCAGAAAAAATAAAAGTTCTTTGTGTTGCTTGTGTGTTGCAGAAAGCATAACCCCTACTGTAGAACTGAATGCACTGTGCATGAAACTTGGAAAAAAGCCCATGTATAAGCCCGTGGACCCTTACTCTCGGATGCAGTCCAGCTATAACTACAGCATGAGAGGAGGTGCTTATCCCCCGAGGTATGTGTGTGTGTTGTAAATACAGGTGAAAGTACATATGCTTTTGTACGTAGAATAATAATATCTACAGATTCTAAAACAAGTAATACTTTGGGTTTCTTTTGGCTTGCCAAGTGTCAGCAGCCTTTTTTTTTTTTTTTTTTTTTTTTTTTAAGTTTTTACCATAGGGTCCATGTGTTCATTACAGAGAAACAGAGAAGAGGGAAAAGTGAGAAATCACCCCCTAGGGAGTGTGACCACAGCACAATCCCTTCTCCTCTGTTAACATCTCAGAATTTTGGGTATGCATGCATGGCACCCTGTGCAAATTTCAAGCCATTAGGTCCAGAACTTGAACCACAATTGGCCATGTGCCTTAACCACCACACCATTTGCTAGCCCCCATCTCATAGTCCATATTTTTTTTAACAATTATTTTTATTTAACTTTATTAATTTATTTATTTTAGTTTGACCAGAGAGAAACAGAGTGAGAGAGAGAGAGAGAGAGAGAGAGAGAGAGAAAGTGAGAAACCAAGTCGTGTCTAAGACTTGAACTGTGGTCAGCCATGTGGGAATCCAGCGCCCTTAACCACCACGCCACCTGCCAGCCCCCATAGTCAGTTTTACTTGTGCTGTGCCATCAGAACTGTGGAACTATGTTTCAGTGCTCTTGTAACTCCTGTGATCCCACAGGCCTGCCCAGATTCCTCAGGAGCAGTGTGGCTTATGCTCCAAGCAGCTTGGTTAAAGATCACCCTTGTAACTGCTTTGTGTAACTGGATCATATTTGAACATGATTCCTACAACACCATAAATCTCAGTATTTGTAGTCCTCTCGATTATTGAGTACTCTTTGACTTTTGTGCTTTGTAAATATCCTTGATGAAGTAAAATATTAATTGAAACCAAAAAAATTCATGTGTTGAAAACCTCCTGTGGGCAATAATAAGACACTAGTGGATAGACTGACAATCCAAATGGAAGTCTTCATTATCCCTGCCCTCCATGGGGGGTGGAGGTCAAAGCCATTTTTAAAAGATGAGCTCTGGAGGATAAGAAGCAAGGTTCCGATAGGTGATAGAGGCTTTTGAGATTTCCAGGAATAAGGGTCCCATCTAGAAAACTGCTTCAAAATTCCCAGCCAGCTATGGAGACATGCAAGTACAAACCTCAGGTTTGAGGAAGTAGAGCATGCGAAGCTTTGGTCTCAACCAGTGCCTAATCTCTTTTACATTTTGTTAGTATAGGCTAGCATTATCAATTGAACTTTTGTGATTTTAAGTCATTTTATATTGTGGAACGTGAGGTTGAATTGCTACACCGTATTTGCTTGTACCAGATAGCACTTCTAATCCAGTTTAAACTTTTACGAACTTTCTGGACGTTCTATAGAGAGGCCTTTGTTAGCGAGCAGATGGATGTGATCGGGACCCATGAGGAAGGAAATGCTTGGGATTTGCTGGAAAATGTATGAGTGATTTATCAGTCTGAGACTAATTTTCTTAACTCCTTTCTATTTTTAGATACTTTTACCCACTTCCAGTTCCACCTTTACTTTATCAAGTTGAACTTTCCGTGGGAGGACAACAGTTTAACGGGAAAGGAAAGACCAGACAGGCTGCAAAACATGACGCTGCCGCGAAAGCCTTGAGGATCCTGCAGAACGAGCCCCCGCCCGAGAGACTGGAGGTGAGGGGAGAACAGAGCTGAGGCTTCTTGGCACCTCAGGCAGAGGAGAGGGTAATACAAAAGACATCACCTCAGGTTACTTTTTCTAAGGTGCAATGATGACTGTTCATAATCTTTTTTTAAAAATTATTTAATTCCATTTGTTGTTATTATATTTTCAATTCCACCAGAGAGAGACAGAGAAAGGAAAGCGAGAATGCAAGCCACCAGATCCGGGGCTTGAACTGGTTGGTCATGTGGGAATCAGTGCCTTTAACTGCCACACCACCTGCCATCCCCAACTGTTCATAATTTTGATTCTTTGATATAGTCTGCTAGAGTTCGTACCTTGCAGTTTGCTTGTATTTCTTATTTATTTATTTTTTTGAGAGATTTTCACTATAGGGCGCGTGCGCTCGCCAGACAGACAGAGACATAGAGACAGAAAGCGAGAAATCACCCCCCAGGGGGGATGGTCATGCCGCAATCCCTTCTCCTCCATTCTCCTCTCGGGATCTTGGGCACGCACGCACACGCGGCCGGCGTGAGTTTTAAGCCACCGGGTCCGGGACGCGAACCGCGGTCGACTATGTGGGAGTCCAGCGACATAGCCATTATGCTAACTGCTGGTTCCCCTTGTATTTCTTTCTTTGTAAGAATTATTTAATGTAATTTATTTTTGATTAATTATTTTATTTCATTTATTATTATTGTTCTTCAGTTTGACCAGCGAGAGACAGGGAGCAGGAGGGAGAGTGAGAAAGCAAGCTGCCAGGTGCAGGACTTGAATCTCAGTCAGCCATGTGAGAATCCAGTGCCTTAACCACCATGCTACCTGCCGGTCCCTTTAATTTTATTTATTACTACTATTTTTTAATTTGACCGGAGAGGAGGTGGAGAGAAAGCAAGCCGTGAGGTTGAACCATGATTGACCATGTGAGAGTCCAGCACCTTAACCACCATGCCACCTGCAGGCCTCTCTCCCTCCCCCCGTCCCTGCTTTTTTTTTTTTTTTTTTTTAAATGGAATTTTTAATTTGGGGTTTTAGAGAGATTTTTGCTATAGGTCGTCATGTGTGCTTGCTGGAGAGACAGACAGGGAGAAAGTGAGAAATCACTCCCAGGAGGGATGGCCACACTGCAATCCCTTCTCCTCCTCCTCTATTCTCTCGGGATTTTGGGCATGCATGCACACATGCCTGGAGTGAGTTTCAAGCCACTGGGTCTGGGATTTGAACCATAGTTGGTCATGTAGGAATCCTTAACTACTACACCACCTGCTGGCCCTCTCCTTCCTTTTTTGTTTTAAAATTTTTTAGCAAGAAAGTCTGCTGCTACCTTTTTACTCTGTGGTGTGATGACATAATAAAAAGTGAACATAAAAGGGGTGAATGCCCTAGAAGAGTTGTGACCCAGCTAAGCTGTGAGCACGTTTACGAGTAAAGTCTTCATTGCTCAAGATGGTGCTCTCAGTTAGACAGGATTCGTGGTGCCAGCGTAGAGAACTGCCTAAAGCTGCTTTGGACAAGCCACTCTATTCTGTGGAAGTGCCTGTTATTTGTTGCTGCGTAACAAACCACAACAACACGCAGCCATGTTGAAACATCTGTAGGTATTATTTTGCTTGTGAATCTGCAGTTGAGGCAGGGCTTGCCAGGGGCAGCTTGTCTTTTGCTCCACACGGCTTTGGCTGAGGTGACTCTACAGAAGTTGGAGGATCCCCTTTAAAGATGCATTGAACTCACCTGGCCAGTAAGCTGGTGCTAGCTGTCAAGTGGGCACTAAGCTGGGGCCCTAGCCTGGGGACCTCAGTTCCCCAGTGGACCTGTCCGAGGACTGCTTACATGTCCTCATATGGTGGCTGTGCTCCAGGTTAGCTTCCCAGAAGATAAAAAATAAGGCCTGAGCCCAGAAGTCACAGTGTCACTCCTGCTGTGTTCTGTAGGCAGACAGGCACAGAGCCAGGTTCAAAGGGAGGAGATAGAGAACCTCATGTTTTCATTTTTTCAAGATTGAGGTAAATCATATGAATTCTCCATTTTAACTATTTGAAGTGTAATTCAGTGGCTGATTCTATATTCTCAATGTGGAAAACCCTGCTTCCAGGTGGCTGGAGTATTTCTTTCTTTCTTTCTTTCTTTTTTTTTTTTTTTTAAGAGAGATTTTTGCTATGGGGCGTGTGCGTGCACCTGACAGACAGGCAGAAAGTGGGAAATCACCCCTCCCCCCCAGGGGGGATGGCCATGCTGCAGTCTCTTCTCCTCCATTTTCCTCTCGGGATTTTGGGCATGGGAGTCCAGTGACATAACCATTATGCCATCTTCTGGTTCTGAGAATGCTTCCAAACCCTTTTAAGATGCACTGAACTCACCTGGCCAGTAAGCTGTGCTGGCTGTCAAGTGGGAACTAAGCTGAAGCCCTAGCCTGAAAACCTGTTTCCCCCAAGAGGAAAAGGATTTCAATATTTGGTGACTAGTGTATTCATAGAACCTCAGAGACTCCATGCCACTGGGGAGCCAAAGCATTGGTGAAAGTCTCTGGTAAGGCAGATTTTTGTCACAAATTGAGTCACTGAAGGTCCAGAAGACACTGTGATGTCATGGTTTCGTTTAATTGCACAACAGGACATAAAAGCACACATCCCTGGATGGCATTTGAGTTTTCCTTCCAGAAGACAGGTTCGCAGAGACAAGAGAACCTTGCACAGAACACTGGGCTAAAGATGGGAGGAGAGGCATGGTCCTGTAGACCCCAGCAGGTCCCTGTGTCCAGCTGCCATCCAGGGCCACCGAGCTCAGGAGGGTGCTGTGCCTCCAGGGCTGGCTGCAGAGGAATGTTTTGTTTTCTTACCTGCTGCGTTTTCAGCTTTCCATTGTAATCACGTATTTTAACAGAGATGATCTGTTTCTAGGGTCCGCTGAGGATTGAGAGAACAGGCTCTAACTTGAAAGAGGAGGATTTAGTGAAATTAAAAGGATAAACTTCTCAGTGGTGAAATCTGTTAAAACATCAGACAGGTAGTGTCATTGAGTTGTTCTGGAGGCCTTTCATTTTGTTACTTGACGTCAGTGCTAGTCTAATGGGAATCAGATGGAGTAGGTACTTCTTGGTGCCTTTAGCACTTGTTGATGAGTGGTCCCTGAACACTGGCATGTGGGTGTGTGCATCACAATCACTGGAGAAGTTTAAATGAATCCCTAGGCCAACCCACACAATTCTAATGCAGTAGGTCTTGGGTAAAACCCAGGCATCTGACTTCTGCTTTTTTTCCCCTTCCTTGGTTAATGTGCTCTTGGAATGATCCTAAGTCGTGGTCAGGGTTTGGGCTCCATGGGTCCTAAGTATCTCTGTGCTTCCTGGAAAGTTTTTCTCCCTATTGAGGTCCTCCATGGGAGTAATTACAACAGTGCTGCAAAGAGACAGTGCCCGTTGGTGTCTCTGAGTCAGCGCTCTCACGCACTAGAGGAGTGTTGGTCGGCACTCCCCTGAGGGTTGTGGCCATAGTGGACATTATCTCCTGGGCTGGGTTCTCATCTGCTCATCTGTAGTCTGGAAGGAGCTCATAGGGAATGCTGTTTGTATCTACTGCATCCCTTGGTTTCTTCCTCTTTGCTCCTTTCCTAGATCTGTGTAGTTTGAAGTAAAGCACACCTTTCAGAAATGACCCAGAGATTGCCCTTAGACATTGCTCCAGAAGCGAAGGATCATTAACTAGGAAAAAACTTTTCTTTGAAGTAATGGAGGACATACTTGGCCTCCCACCCAAGTGTGCTGCCCCTTTGATTTTACCAGGTCCTCTGTAGATGGGGCATAGGGAAGAAGCAGATGTTTGTTTTTAAAAAAGGGATGCATGTGGGCCCAGCGCACATGGCGAAGCCACATGGACGTGGGAGGCTCAGGTCCAGTCCCAGCCTACCCTTCAGTCCATGCACAATGGTGCACATCTGTGGTCTCAGAGACTCAGATGCTGAGGCAGGGGAATCACCACAACAGAGCGAGATCTTGTCTTACCGAAAAGAAAAAGAAATGTCTTTGAGCTGTAAAATTTAAAAATGCAAATAAAAGAAAAATACATTTGTATATTTAACCACTTATAGATAATCACCATGAAGATTTGGGTGGCTGTCAGTGCATATACAAGAAAATAAATGAGCCTCTCTCTCTCTCATAAAAATAGGATGATATTAAAACCAGTATTTTTCACTGCCGTGTTGATCATGAACATGTCATGTCCTTTATTGAAGACTTTGGAAGATTCAAATCCAACATGCATCTGAACACGTTTTAGTGACTGCAGAGTCCTCTGTCATGTGGAAATACCAGTTTGTTTTCTCTGCGGGGACTTGATTTAGGTTGTTTGCAGTTTTTCCTGTAATAAAACAGGCAACGAAGAACATTGTTGT